GTACAAGAACACATAATCATAAGTTTATGTTAACACACGGTCATACGTTTGCAATAACACACAATCATAAGTTTATGTTAACACACGGTCATAAGTTTATATTAACACAGGGTCATAGGTTTATGTTAACATATGGTCATAAGTTTATGTTAACACACGATCATAAATTTATGTTAACACACGGTCATAAGTTTAAGTTAACACATGGTCATAAGTTTATATTAACACAGGGTCATAGGTTTATGTTAACACACGATCATAAGTTTAAGTTAACACACGGTCATAAGTTTATTTTAACACAGGGTCATCAGTTTATGTTGACACACGGTCATAAGTTTATATTAACACAGGGTCATAGGTTTATGTTAACACATGGTCATAAGTTTATGTTAACACACGGTCATAAGTTGAAGTTAACACATGGTCATAAGTTTATTTCAACACAGGGTCATCAGTTTATGTTAACACACGGTCATAAGTTGAAGTTAACACATGGTCATAAGTTTATTTCAACACAGGGTCATCAGTTTATGTTAACACACGGTCATAAGTACAAGAACACATAATCATCAGAATGCACAATTAAACTACTCTGAACAGCTGAAAGTTACTGAAAAATCAGGCCAGACAAAGGTTTTATCAAAATAATTACAGAATTATTCTATTTTTTTTTTTTTTTAAACAAACACTGTACCTGACATGAATTACCTACCTCATGCTCCAGGGCACTGTACTCTCCTTCAGTTTGTTCACGGATGATGACGAAGTCGAGATTCTTATGACGCGTTTTGAAGCCAGGTAAGCTCTTGATGACAACAACATTAGCAAAGAGATCCAGCTCTGCTCTGTTAACAATGAAGTAAAGATAAGTGTCAGAAAACATTCTCAGTATTCTCAGCAGGTCATCGAGAATTAGCAGGTCACATTAAGTCAGAGACGTGACAGTCAAGGTACGGTTATATAGAGCATAGGGGTAGGATAGGGAAATTCCGTCCGAACAAATTTCAAATTGGGTTAAATGTGAGGCTTGCCGAGGGCTTGCACCAATTTTGGAAATTCCTCAGTGTGTTTGGAGTTTCTGTTCTCTGTACCATTACATATTTCCAACAGCATCACCTAAAGTTTGTAATAATTGATAATTTCAACCTGTCTCAAAGGTCATGTACACCTTTGTCATTTGTATATTTGTGGATATAAGGTAAGTTTATATCTACCCCTTTCTCCCTAGCTGTTTATAACAAGGCTATGGATACAGGACAAAATGATGTGTACTCCCTTGCTATCTGTCACACAGTAAGTAGTCAGTAGTTGTCTACACTAAACTAATATTGAGGGTCTGGAGGACACTTCCCTTCGTAACAAAAATGTAGAACTCAGTATTACCCTATTCACCTGATTTACATATTGGGGGTCTGAACCACGTCCTCTTTGTAACAGATGTGTGGAACTTTTCTTACTCACCTAATCTTCATGTTGAGGGTCTGGAGGACACCCCCTTTGAAGTTGGATGGTGTTGTGATGATTCCCTTGAGTCCGACTCCATTACGCTTGAATGATTCCACCACTGTGCTGATGCTGGCACTTTGAGTTGGCTGTACCTCACTATAGATTAAAAGTTCATCTTTTGTATTGTTAGGTGATTAAGCTGTTTTTTTTTTTTTTATTATTTTGATTTTATCTTAAATAGAACTTTAAAATAAAGATTCATACAATTCAATTCTACACTTTTCTTTAGAGTGAAGAAACAATGTTGAAATCAAAACGATTAATTAGGTCAACTACCTTGCATTGCATAGTGATACAGTTTATAAAGCCTGTCTCATTGGAAGCTATGAAAGGGAGGGGGTACCTAATAAAATATTCCTCAAACTCCACAGGAGCCCCAGCAGCCTGGAATACGTCGCGAACACTGCCCATGAGGTGCGGCCCTACCCCATCCCCCGGGACAAGGGTCACCTTCTGTTTCCCCTCGGGATGGGAGACTGGCTCTGATACAGACTGCAAATATAAAAGCATTAACATAATGGCTCTCAAAACATGTTGATGTTATACAATAGACAACCTGAAGGCAGAAGCTTTTGACGAAATTTGACTGTTTAACTAAGTTTAGATGCAAGTTCTAAGGTGATCAAATCATCATCATAATCCTATCTAGGAAAGGATTTACAGAGAGTCGGAACAGAGGAGCCCAGTTATAAACTTACCAGAGCCTGATGGTGTGGTGTAGAGTCGTGGAAATCTCTGCTCTGAAATTCTTTGACTGTCTGAAAATAAAAAATAGAATCAGTTTATTTTGAAATTTGTACTTTTTCTTTCTTCATATTCTTAAGCTCATATTCTACTGAATCAGACAGATACGACTTTAAAAATAGATAGTGGTTGAGGTTATTTATTGTCCTACCCATGTAATAGAATATCACAACTGAAGTACATCAAGGAAACTCTACTGGCTGTTGTATATTTAGCATCTAATACTGTACCTCAAGCAAGGTTGAAGACAGAAAGGGAAAAGACATAATTATTCCAAGTTAAATGTCATGGTGGAGCATTTCTCTCATATAGAAAACAGCGAGTAGAGATATTTGGAACAGCATCTTGCTGAATAAATGCGAAGAGTGTACCCCACTCTTTCGCATTTATTCAGCAAGATGCTGTTCCAAATATCTCTACTCGCTGTTTTCTATATGACAGAAATGCTCCACCATGACATTTAACTCCACCATGACACAAAGGGTCGAGTGTCCTCGACATGGTGTTAGTTCTCATTTCCATTCATACATAAAATTTGGGAGGTGATGTGATTGACTACAAAGATATTCGCAGAAGAGATATATAGTTACATCATTTAGACAGAGACACTACCTTAGATAAAATCTAGCATAACCTTCATGGATTAGGAAATTGCAAAAAATTGCAGAAAAAATATGCAAAATTCTTCATTTTCGATTTCACAACATGAACAAGCTCACAAGATATTTAAAAGTGACAGATCCAAATATGCTCATTACATTTGTACATACAGAGACCCATGGACTTCATGAAGTACTAGGGTTAAACAATCAATTGACAGACACCGGTTAGTCAGTGTGTTAACGTCTTGATATATAATTTGTAACTAGCATTAGTCATTTTGGTCTCTGTGGAGTATAACATATAGATAAATAGAAGAAACAAAACTTCCCGTTCTGTTCGTCAACAATCAACACGTGGGTTTTGACATGATGAATGGAATCATTGATTCCTCGAACCCCGAAACAATTCCACAGTTCATGAATGGGTTTTATATTGTAATATGGAAACTATCGTCACAAAGTTAATGTCGAATACCTACACATGCCAGAGAGCGCGGAACTTGTTGACAGAGCCTGGAAAAAGCCGACCTTGTCAAGGAGGATGCCATGTTTATTATGACGTCACAGAGGGATTTCCCAATGACGACTAGAAGGGAGGTATCATTTTACAATTTTCATTCTAGGCCTCTATTCAAACGGGTAAATTTTCATCTATCACGTTCATAAAAAATACTGAAAATATTGAGAGATGTTTCAATTTCTTCTTTGATTTCAAAAGCATTTCACTGTAAAATGCACCACGGAATATTAGATTCCATCTCCATGTATATGTACCCAAGTATGCGATGCAAGGGAAGTAACTCGTACAAATGACTTGTTTATTGAATGCGACGACCACCACAATAATTATTATGATGATGAAAATCTTATACTATCAACCAAATAATAACAATAAGAGTATGTTATTACAGTTAAACACAGTTCTTCGCCCATTTTATCCTCCGCTAGATGTTAACGGGAATATATATATAACTATCATAAGGAGCGGATCGCTCCGAAAATTTGACAACCTAAACTTGTCCACACTGTTGGAATTACTTCTTTGCCCCATATAATATTTTGAGTAATTCGTACCCTACGGACATACCTCCATTAGGATCCAGTGTTATATGGGATTTTTCCGTCTATATTACTTCTTTGACCTATAACTATCATTTAATACATCTCGTGGTTTCCCACCCCTCACCCGTATCGCTCTGACTCCTATCATGGTATCGTGAAGCAATGCCAACTGTTCGTTCCAGTATGGCTTTAGATGCTTTTTAAATTTTACTTCAGGTATAGACTCTATAGCCGAATTTAGTAATGCTGACACAATTTCATTACTATATGTATATCAATTTCATCCTGCGCTGTTACTTCAGTACCTGGTTCGCGTATTTTGGACAACTTATCGTACAGTGATAACTTATACTTCTGTAACATTCCCTCTGACACAGCTTTCTTCCAATTTAACCTGACATTACATGATTTTATAGACTGGAGTAGATACGGGAGTTCCCGCCATCAGCCCCTCAATGTTCCTAAACACATAAAATTAAACTTGGTCATGACTGTGCTTATCTAGAAATACTGCGCGAGGAACCCATTGCCTCATACTTATGCCATCGGGCCAGAAGTGACTGCCAGTAACTATGTCAGCATCCTCCGATAGGATGTTTAACTGTGCCGAGGCTGTACTCTTCCACCGACGTACGAAGTACCTCAGAAACGTAACACGCACACCAGCTTCTTCCAAGAAGTCACGCATGGCTGATGCGGAAGCTATAAAATTTCTCTGATAAACTGGAATTGGATTTTGGTGCTGGATTACAAACTGATGTAGGAAAATGCACATGTATGGCAGTATCTGCCTCTTAAGCATCATTCCTCGCGTCTTTGGTAATATTCTTCTCTTTTGTTGATTTCCTCCTTTCGGTAATTTCCTGACGTAGGTTTGCAATCGACGATCGACACTGGTTGACATCCTCTGTAAGTTTGTCGATTTGCTGATCACCACTTTTCGCTCTTTCGGCTACCAACCTTACAGATGTTTTAAGGCTGAGGCTATGCCATTGGATTTTTCCAGCGAGTTCTCACTTTTCGTTTTTTATGTTTGAAACGCTTATGTTCATGTTACACGTAGTTTTTGCCAGTGCGTCACACTCTTCTTTCAAATTGTTTAGTTCTATGGTAAGCTCGTCGTTTTTCTGTGTCAGTTTGCAATTACTTTCATGTAATGTAGTTATTGTTTTACGTAGTTCGTCAATCTCCTTATCTGACTTGGCCACTTTACTCCTCATTGTTTTCAGTTCCGTTTAAGTACCTTTTTGCTCTATTTTGTGCGTCCTCTTTCTCTTTGAGGATAGTTTCAAATTTATTTTTCAATTCACGCGATATAATTATCTTAAACATATATATCATCTTAAGTATACAAATATAAATAGATGCCTAACAGAGGTATTAAATATGATACTATCTAATTATCTTAAACATGTATATCATCTGAAATATATAAATACATAGACATTATAGATATAATATAACACAAAGATATATAGCATGCACGATACAGAATAAATCACTTAATATTGTAACGTAATGGGACGAGTTAAGTAACGACTGGGGTACTTATATTTTCAAAATTTAATTTTATTTAATAGAAATTATTATGATAACATTCATATTAGCATATTGTCCCAATACTTGTGTCCATGAAATTACAATCAATTAATTTAATTGGTACTTACCAGACTGGCATTTCCTATGTTGCCATCTTGTGCAGATGTCGCACTGAAGTGCCTCTTGTCGTGGTCCGACAACGCGGGTGCAAAAAACACAATCGTGAGATACGTGCTATGTCAGTTAGTAAGCTGCTTTGTTTATACCCCCGACGTCCTCCTACTTTCATTGTCAACATAATGTGTCCTGTGGAAGTTATGTGTTGGGAACAATTACACTTAAACATATTTTTGTTGATACATTTTCCTAACAGTGTATAACTCCCCCTCTGAAGTAGAGGACGAATTTAATTTTTTATTGGTCTGTTCTAAATTCCAAAATCTCAGATCTCGTTTTATCAAAAGCTATTATTGGAAAAAACATCTGTATTTAAAGTCGTCCAGTTATTGAGTGTCCATAATATTAAAGAATTGTGTATACTAGGAAAATTCATATATGAGGCAAACAAGTTAAGGGTATTATAATGGAATATGATTGTTTTCATCTTCTGTACATTGTCCATGATTTGTGTATATGTATTGTATACTGATGGGCCAATGGCCCAAAGTTTGAATAAAACTTGAAACTTGAAACTTCCTAACGTTGTTATCTTAATAACAATTGCCATCAATGCAGCGACACAAAATGTAATAGAACCGGGAAAATAATTGCCTCTCTGATCTTATTTAAAAAATACTACAGATCGTCGATATATGGCTTTGTTGATTGTTTAGTAGCTACATCCATCAACGTTTGATGACAAGATGTACACATACAGGAAAACATGGAGTTTTTGTTTATTTAAAAGCCACAAGCTGTATGATTTAAAAATTAAAACAAAACAAAAATAGTAATTTAAATAAATTACAAATTAATAGTTAATTAACTTAGTTTGTTTTCAATAAATCAATAAAAATTTCTCCAAATCCTTAAACATTTCTATGCTGAAATAGCCCCAATTGTCACAGATCTCTTTAACTGTTCCCTGTCAAGCGGTGTAGTTCCTTCAGACTGGAAAACTGCCATTGCAGCCCCTGTATCTAAAAAGGGACCAAAAATCCAACCGCAAAATTACCGTCCAATCTCGCTAACCTGCATCCTCAGTAAATTGATAGAACACATCCTTACCAGAAGCATCATGACTCACGCCGACAACTATAATCTTCTCAGCCCTCTCCAGCATGGTTTTCGCTCCAAACGTAGCTGTGAAACACAACTTCTTGCTTTTACCTCAGACATCTATAATAATTTAGCACTAGGTCATCAAACAGATGTAGCCGTTATGGATTTTTCAAAGGCGTTCGAGAAAGTCGACCATGCCCAACTCATTCTAAAACTCACTTGTTTCGGCATTCACAGCAAAATCATTGCTTGGGTCCAACATTTTCTACTTGATCGTAGTCAGAAAGTTGCTGTAAGTAACACCATATCTTCTACCTGTCCTGTCCTCTCTGGAGTCCCCCAAGGCTCAGTCATGGGGCCCTGTCTTTTTCTAATCTACATAAATGATCTACCAGACTCTATCACAAGCCAAGTTAGACTTTTTGCAGACGACACTATTGTCTATGTAACTGTTTCATCCAACTCTGATGCAGAAACACTACAAACAGACTTCAATCTTCTGGAAAAGTGGGAACAAAATTGGTTACTGTCATTCAACCCTGATAAATGTGAAATTCTACACATCTAAAAGAAAAGGCTGACACATAAATTTAACTATATTCTCCATGGACAAATTCTAAAGCAAGCAGATTCGGCTAAATACCTGGGCTTAACCATCACTAAAAACTTTTCATGGAACACCCACATCAATAACATAACCAACAAGTCAAATTCATCCCTAAGATTCATTCGGAGAAATATTAAAACCACCAATGTAAAAACAAAAGAGTTAGCTTATAAAACTTATGTCCGCCCACACATTGAATACTGTAGCCCCATCTGGGATTCATGGCAGGCTAACCTTACCCATAAAGTTGAAATGGTGCAGAGAAAAGCCGCCAGGTACACCCTTGGTTGCTACAACTACACCAGTAGTGTTAAAGAAATGCTCCAAACTTGAACTGGCAATCCCTTGAACAACGCCGTAAAATAACCTCCACCATACATTACTATATAAAATCTTAAACAGCCTTGTGGCATATGATGGCAACCTCCAATTCTCCAGCGAATCCGACAATACAATTTCCAGATTCCACACAGCTCCACAAATAATCATGCAAATTCATTCTTTCTTAGAACAATTCGTACCTGGAACAGCCTCCCAACCTTCATCGCCGACAGTGCAGACCTCTCAACACTGAAGGCAAATCTCCTCTCTCACAAATTCTAAGCGTACATGTTGTTTTTATCATATAGTTCTAAAAAAACCTAACTCAAAAAAACTTGTTTTTAACCGATCTCTCTGACGCCTCTAAATAATGTTCAGTGAATTGAACGTTTTAGAGTATCCTGTTGAAGTTGAAGTAAATAATGAATTACTATTCAGGCTTGGCTTTGCAAAATAATATGTATATCGCCGAATTCAGGTCGTTTAGGTACCCGGTCGTTTAGCTGCTCAGCTGCTCAGTTAAACTACGAAAGCAAACGTTATATAAACAACCAACTATAAATAAAAAGTGAGAAATATTTATTAACTAATAAAGGATTACCGAAACAACTTAAATACAGGTACCGAAACGACTTACAAAATGTACCGAAACATCTTCTTTTTGAAGTACCGAAACTACCAGGTACCGAAACGACTGTACCATCGAATACCTTTCCGTAGTATACACGAAACAAGAGTTATTCCCCTTAGCACGGTAAAACACAATCACATATTAACTACGATTTTCCCAAGAAAATAGGAAAATGAGCATACCTTTTTTCTATATTATTTTTGGGGCGAACTAGTTGGGGCGTTATGGTTTCTTTGGGGCGAACTATTTGGGGCGTTATGTTTTTTTTGGGGAAACCTGTTGGGGCGATATGAATCAATTTAGCTTGGGGCGATACGGTTTTGGGGCGAAACGTCTGACACCCGTAGGATCGACCCTAGGTAATCCCGCAGCGAGGAATTACTTCTTCCAACTTTATCTACGTTGTTTAATTCTATACTAGAATCTGGTTATTTTCCTTCTAATTGGTCGTCAGCCATAATTATTCCTGTCCATAAGAAAGGTGTTTTAAATGACCCTAATAACTTTAGAGGTATCAGTTTAATTAGTTGTCTTTGTAAACTTTTTACCTCTGTACTAAATAAACGTATTTTAGATGTGTGTACAAAATATGACCTTATTACTGATGCGCAATTCGGATTTCGTCCAGAACTTAGTACGATTGATGCAATTTTCGCATTACATTCTATTATAACGAAAACTTTATCTTCAAAGAAACGTTTTGTACTGTTGCTTTGTGGACTTTCGCAAAGCGTTTGATTTTGTTGATAGATTAAGCTTATGGCGTAAGCTGACTAAGCTTGGTATTCGTGGGAAAATGTTATCCGTCATTAAATCATTTTACAAATCAGTTAAATCTTGTGTATCAACTAACGGTAAATGTTCTAATTATTTTGAGTGCAGTGTTGGATTAATGCAAGGGGAAATATTATCGCCTTTATTGTTCTCAGTTTTTGTTAATGATTTTGAAACCTCATTTATTGAAAATGGTGCAACGGACTATGACTTTGGTGAATTAAGTTTGTTTTTGTTAATGTATGCAGATGACTTAGTATTGTTTTCCGAAACTATTGAAGGTTTACAGAGTCTTTTAGATAATCTGAATGTGTATTCTACTAAATGGAAATTAACAGTTAACACTGAGAAAACCAAAGTAGTTGTATTTAGAAACGGTGGTAGTATACGAGATAGAGAAAGATGGATGTATAATGGTTTGGAGGTGGAAGTTGTAGATGTTTTCAGCTACCTAGGAGTAAAACTGAAATTCAATAATAAATTTAATCATATACAGAAACAGTTATCTGACCAAGGAAGAAAGGCCATGTATGCTCTTTTTTCAAGCTCTTCTAACTTGAGCCTAAACTGTACAACGTTATTGCATTTATTTGAT